TGCCTTACCTATTAGTAGGTGAAGGTCGAGCATCAGAGACAAGCTAGTTTGTTGCAACCATTGCCTGTAGCGTAGTGGAAATGGGAGCAGATTGTTATGGATTTTGTGACTGGTCTTCCTAGATCATGGAGGTGAAATGAAGCCGTATGGGTCATTATTGATAGATTGAATAAGACGGCTCACTTTTTTCCTATTAAGGTAACAGATGACGCAGAGGCACTTAGTGTTCTTTATGTGAAAAAGATTGTGAGGTTGCACGGAGTTCCAGTGGCTATTGTTTCAGATAGGGATGCCAAGTTTACTTTGAGGTTCTGGGAAGGACTTCAGGCAGCGTTTAGTTCATCGTTGCACCATAGTACGACATTCCATCCACAGACGGACGGCCAGTCAGAGCGTACCATCTAAATCTTGGAGGATATGTTTCGGACATGTGTACTTGATTTGGGAGGTAATTGGGCGGATGACCTTCTACTTATTGAGTTTGTCTATAACAACAGTTATCAGGCGAGTATTCAGATGGCTCCATTTGAGGCGTTGTATGGTAGACCTTGTAGGTCTCCTATTTTTTGGATTGAGGTAGGTGAGACAGCCACCTTAGGACCTGACATAGTACTCAAGACTACCGAGAAGATTAAGTTGATTAGGCAGAGATTGCTTACAGCTCAGAGCCTACAGAAGAGTTATGTGGATAAGCGGAAACAGCCCTATCCTTTGAGGTGAGAGACCATGTCTTTCTACGGGTTTCTCTACGAAAGGGGTTGTTGAGGTTCGGGAAGAATGGCAAGTTATTGCCACGATTCATTGGACCTTTTGACATCTTGGACAGGGTAGGAGAGGTTGCCTACAAGCTTGCTTTGCCACCACAGTTGGACAGGGTCCACAATGTTTTTCATGTGTCGATGCTACGGAAGTACGAGCTAGATCCATCTTAAATTTTTAGTTGGGTTGATGCGGACCTTGATAGGGATGTTTTCTTCGAGGAGGGACTAGTTCAGATCCTTGACACACAGTAGAAGGTGTTAAGGAATAAGACGATACCATTAGTAAAGGTTCTATGGAGGCATCACGGCGTGAAGGAGGCTACTTGGGAGATCGAACATGTGTTCGCTCCAAGTATTCAGAGTTGTTTTCTCCCTCAGGTATGACTTGATTTTGGGGATGAAATCTTTTAAAATTGAGGATAATGTAATGTTATGATTTATATATATATATATATATATATATATATATATATATATATATATATATATATGTATGTATGTATTAAATAGAAAAGTGGTGGACCCACCACTTTATTCATTGGTGGCCCCACCACTTTATTCATTGGTGGCCCCACCACTTTATTCATTGGTGGCCAAGAGGACTTTGGCCTCATTTCTTTCTCTCTCCCCGGTTGAGCCTCTTTTTTCCTCTTTTTTTTTCTTTTTTTCTTTTCTTTTTCCCACAAACTTCAATCTTTGATTACTTTTCTCAACCATTTGGAATTTTTGGGTGTCGTTTGTAGTAAATCAGAGAGTTCGTTGAGATCTACACATTGATGTAAGCAATTTCTTGTTTGGCCAACCATAGGAATTTAAAAAATCTAGGGATTTTTATGGGTTTTCATCCATCTTGAGGTAGGGGTCTCTAATTCATAATCTTCTTGTGCTTTTGTGAATTATCTTGTATAAATTGTTACTTAGCATGTTCAATTAGTATAAATTCTTGCAAAAATTGCTTAAATGTTGTATATGAAATGTTTAATTATGTGTTGAATGATGTGTTGTGATCGAGCATGCTTGTAGGGACTAAAATTCATGTTTTATAAACTTATTATGCTAGATTATTGTTGAATGAAAGTATGTATTTTTTTTTCATTACTCGTAAAGCATGCTATGTGGATTAAGTTGAATTAATTGTATGAAAATGAGTATTGGCATGGTATGAAAAGGCATAATGCATTTCATACATAAGCATTGGGTAAGAAAAATGGGAAAGTTATTTTGAAATGGAATGAAAAAGGTTTTGGGAAAAAAGTTTTAAAAGGGTTGTGAAAACCTAGCCGCCTAGGAGTTGCCTAGGGATCGCGGTGTTAGTATGGCCTAGAGGGAATTCGGGAGATTATCCTAGCGTGGTAGAGTTACCTAGGCCCAAATGACGCCATGAAGCTGCCATGGGTCAGGGATAGTTAGCCAATCCTTCTCTTGTGCCGCCATGGAGTTGCTATGGGACAGGTTACACTAACGGTTCGGAAATGATGATGGAAAAAGTTTTGGAAATAGGGAGCGACATTGCATGACATTGCATTCCATAGCATGACATGGTTCGTTTATGACTTGGATTATTATTGTTGATGTTGTGGTTATATTTTTCCCGGAAATGGCATGATCCCGGTTCTTTTTCCTATTCCTTGTTTGGATGAAGTGTGTTTTAGGCACCTCCTACTGAGCCATTGTGCTCACCCCTTTATTATTAATATTTTTTAAGACACGAAAAGGAGGTGGCGGATGACCATCCACCACAAGATTAAACGGAATTAAAGATTTATATTTTGTTATTTTTGTTTTAGAATTTTAATATTTTGTAAATATAAATCTTGACTATTCTGTAAAACTTTAGTATAATTTGTATAATGCTGTAAATTATGGACTTTTGATTTCAGTTGTATTTTATGGACTGACAATTGAAGTAATTAGAGTACGTTTCTTATAAAGGAGTATGGAACTAGGTAGCGGACTGGCGCTTCCATGTTTTTTTTGAAGGAATTGGAGGAACGAGACTCTTTTTATATGTATATTGTTGTTTTGGAAATGTTTTATATTATTTGCATTGTGCGTTGGGACATAATAGATTAGTTTATGGCCAAGTGAGACCATTACATTTTTTTTTATGTATTTCAACAGGTTGTGGTAGGACCATTTTTAGCAGAGGTCATGCCGAATTTTTTTTAAGACTAGTATCAGTTTAGGGTCGTTACACAAATGATCATCAACTTTTTACTTGCCTTGCTTTACACAAAAGCCAGCAAGATGTATCTTGCAGGCCTTTTTCAGGAGTGGTAATATTTTACAAGACTTGCAGCAGCCAAAACTCTCAAAATCTGAAAGATAGATTGTCACTTCAACTGAAAATCTACATACATTTGGGGTGTGCTCGGCTGTGTGGAATTGAAGCATTGTAATTAAAATTGGAATTGGTAGAATTAGAAAAAAATTTGGTTCTATTTTCTTAGTTGTTTTTTTTTTAAAATTCTACCAATTCTAATTATCTGGCTCTAATTTCATGCAGCGAAACACACCCTTAGAATTTTCTTAATTTTTCTTCCCAATGCGAGCAAATAAACCACTAAAGATTATAACTTAATTAATACATCTTTTCTACCTTCAAAGTAGAACGTTGAGAGAGTCTACAAAAATGGTCCATTTCTTCCAATTTTTTATTTATTTATTTTTTTTTCAACTCATGGGGTGTTCCCAGACCCACCCTTCATATAGGACTTTTTCTCCTTGCACATCTCTGTGTTACAATAATTCATTCCGCGCAAGGGTACTATAAAGTCAGTCAGTCTCTTGGTGAGATGTGATTGACTAAGTTGTAATTAGAGTAATCAGAGAGTCTAAATGTATAATTCATCCTCTTTAAAGAAAAAAATTGGGTGTTCCAGCCCTGTTAGAAATAATATAACCAGTGTGTACATAATAAAAACACTGATGTTCGTATTTTTGTCATCCACGCTATTAAAAAAATATTAATGGGTAGGTTGGCAAGTGGGATTGAATGTAAACAAAATTAACAAAGGAAAATGGCAGCATATTATATATGGCCGTATCATATATATGTACGCTATTAGAAATAAGGCTACTGTGTTTTTGTTGTGTTTCCAATAGAAACATCTGATATTATTTTAACAGATCTTATATTTAAACCACTGATACGGAGTATTATTTAAACAAATATTTAATATCTACAAAAAAAAAAAAAAAAAAAAAAAATTCAAATCACTCAAGCGCGTTTTCTGGAAAGTCTACCCTTTAGTCCCTGTCTGTGTCAAGGAAGGTGTTCCACGCCATAATTATTTTACATCCGTCACAAGCACGTACATTTTCATTATAAATGTAGCTTGTCACAAACCCTTTAGTCCTCACATATGAAGCACGGACACTTCTTCTAGAGGTCTCGTACCGGTGTCGGACACTTTTCGGACACGGATACGCGTGTCCGACACTTCTGTGAAGTGTCAATAAATTATTTTTTATTAGACACAAAGTGAACACGGCTCGAACACGACTCAAACACGGGTGGACACGACTCGGACACGCAGGGGACATGGCTCGGACACGGTGGGGACACGGCGTGATATATTTTGAAATTTTTTTAAAAATAAATGGGGTAACTAATGTAATTTTTTAGAAGTTTAAAAGTAAAATTTTGAAAAAATAAAATAACAACTACAAATAAGAGTACTACACAGTAAATTTATTTTCTCTCACCTACTCTCTCAGCCTCTCTCTTCTTTAATTATCTCTGTACATGAACAAAACATTTTTATTAAAGTTACATGAACAAGATTTTGTGAAAGACTGAAAGTATATATGTTTATTCATACATATATTTAATCCATTATAACTATGTCTCTTCTGCACATCTTTATTTGAATTTGGATCAACTTTATTTTTTCAGTTTTCTTATAACAAAGATGAAATTATTAAAATTGGTCATGTTATTTGTTATATGTATATAATTTTATAGGCGTATCCTCACTGTGTCCGTGTCCTATTTTTTTGAAATTTGTCGTGTCGCCGTATTCGTATCATATTGTACCCGTGTCCTGTGTCGGTATCCGTTCTTCATAGGTCCTCACCAACAGATCTTCAAATCTTCAGCAGAAAGTGTTCCATTTTCCACTGTTTAATTCTTATATCGCTTACAAGCTAACATAGCATATTCATATAGCTGCACATATATTTCACTCCCAGCCACCACCATTTTTCTAGACAAGTCAATCTTTATCAAGAAGATTAATGGCAGAGAAGGAGCAACAACCAGGGTATAACTCGGCAGCACCATATAATTATGGCCGAGCAGACGAAGAGGCACAAACTAAAGAACTTAAACGCCAGAAACGCAAGAAACTTATTCTATATATTGCTGCGTTCGCTGTATTCCAAACCATTGTTATAGTGATCTTTTCACTCACTGTCATGAAGGTCAAAACTCCCAAGTTCCGCGTTCGTACTGCCTCATTTGAGACATTTAGTGTCACAGCATCATCATTTGACATGAGAATGAATGCTCGACTTGGTGTCAAGAACACCAATTTCGGTCCCTACAAATTCGACGATAGTACCATCACCTTTTACTACAGGGGTGCAGAAATAGGGAATGCTTTTATTCCCAAGTAAACGGCTAAATTTCAATCCACCAAGAGCTTCAATGTTACAATAAATCTATCATCAACTAATTTACCAGCCAGTTCAGAATTAGGAAGTGATTTCAATTCTGGGATTTTGCCACTTAGCAGCACATCAAGATTGACCGGAAAGGTGGAGCTAATGCTGGTGATGAAGAAGAAGAAAGCTACCAATATGAATTGCACCATGGAAGTGAATATCGCAACCCAGCAGCTCCAGAATCTGAAATGCAAATGATATATATTTGTCTAAATCTGTTCAGTGTTTAATTCCTGAAAATTCTTTGTTAATTTTACTTTTCCTTAAAGTATATTCCAATGTTAATATATTTTTTCCACGCCTTCCTTCTTTTTTTTTTTTTTATTTCTTTTTGATTCAGAAGGTGTGTTTTTGGATAGAATTTCAATTTTTAGCCCAATATGTTCAAGCGTTGAGTTTATTTTTTATTTTTTCTTTTGCTCTCTCTTTCTGACTTTATTTATTTAAGTACTTTATAACCGGATGAAAGCCAAAAAAGATAGCAAAATTGTGTGGGGTACATGGCTAGCCGAACAAGCCAAGAGGCACCCACCAAATCAGTCCAGTGATAAATGAAAATCCCATGAAATCAACAAAGAACATAATTAGGTCTGATATCGCATGATTTACTCTTACAAAAGGGAAAATGAATGTCAATCCTCAGAAATGAGGCCCAAAGGAAGCCGTGAATCAAGCACTACTCTTGGTATAAATAGTAAAAGCAAACACCAACGAAAAGGGAAAGGGAAAAATAGTGAGGAGGCACTATATTGTTGTACTACGTATTTTTCTATTCCAAAGAGGCCTAGTGTTAAGAGGGTCTTGTGGCACATCCGATAAAGCTGCCTTAGAAGTTGAAACATGATTTTAAGACTTACCTATAGTGATTAGCTTATCTATTTTATTTTTTTTATCCTCACTTAAAATTTAGCTACATCATTAGATCTGTTCAATTCATTATCCAAGTATTCATTCTTCTTTAAATAGACTAATTTTAATTTCATTGCCTCGCTACTTATAATTAAGGATTTTTATTTCATTCTCAAGTTCATTTTTTAAAGAGTAAAGACCAATTCTCAAATTTCTTTCTAGTTTTCTTCTAAATTATTATTAAATTTATTTGTTTTTCTTTTAAGATTTTTTTCAGCTTTTGAGCTTGAAAGGTCTTCTCAAATATATCACTAAAGGAACTTTGCGAGTGGCCTAATTGTTAGAACGCCAAACTCTTCGAGCAGATATGGCTGTGCTCGAGGCCCGCCCCCTCACCCCTAGTTTGTCATGAAAAAAAAACAAATATATATATATATATATATATAAATCACTAAAGACCAATTGATCCTATCTTAATAGGAGCTTCATCTTCGTTTTTTGTGCTCACTTCCAATAGAAGTACTCTCAGCATCCTTCTTAGTGTGTCTAAACCTCTCGACCTTCACGCAAGACAAATTTGTGAGTTTATGCAATAGAAAATAATGTGAAAAGTTTAAGTTTTCAAGGAAGAAATTAAAATCTATGTTTTTCTATTTTAATCAGTTTTACTTAATTTATCAATTAATCACATGTAAAATAAAAATAAAGTAAAACAAATAGAATTTGAGAGATGACATGAAGATTTATAGCGAGGAAATCCCAATTGGTAAAATAGATCAATTGTTGTGGAAAAAAGCTTGTGAATTGTGCAATCCAAAGTAAACTGATCCACTATATTTAAATCATAGTACAATGAACTTTGACTCAGGTTCACACCCTATCGTTTTACCAAACGCCAATTACTGACAATTCTCTAACTTTGCGATGTCCTGTCCAACAGCTCTTGATTTTAGGCTTACTTTTGATCTCTGTAGAAGGATTGCTGCTGGATCAAACAACACTCATCGAATGCTTTGAACCTTTTAAAGTGTGATCGCTTCACCCATGTTCTTCAAGATCTGAAATTAATGTAGAAAAAATAAATTTGCTTTTCTGATCGTTGTAGATGCAATATTCAATAGACTTTGAACACGATCAGGAATTGAACAACACCCTAAAATTACTTTTGTGTTTATGTGTGTGTTCTAGTAATAAAGACAGAAAAATCAGATTTATCTTTTTGTAAAATATGTCTCAGATAGGCTTTTAATAAATTAGAAGTTGTAATACAAATGTCGTATCAACCTAGATGTAAAGCAAGGTTTATATAGAATTTCAAAGACCTATATATGCATAGGAAAAGGTAAATTTCGTGCATATGATTTTTGGAAAGAATTCTATACCAAGTAAGAAGTTTAGATAGAACGGGGAACAAAAATCCTCAACTGTATCAGACATGTTTAACCGATAGCAAAGTTGGAACTAGTTCCCAAAGGAGAGAATGTTCATCTTCGAAGCATAGAATCTTGAACCAGTAGCAAAGTTTGGTACCGATTCCCAAATGACAGAATTGAATGCAAAGGTTAAAACATTTTTGAAAAATTCTATTTTGGAAACTTTGAAGAACATATCATGTATGTATAGCGTCATATGTGGTAAACAACTTTTTAAAGTGTTGTTCATACTTTTTTTGTAAATCTTAGTTTATCAAACTTGAATAACCTTCCAATTCTGTAGCCGATCTCGATCTGGATTTGGTAACTTGAAAATTACAACTCGATCAGACTTGTTTTTATACCGAAATTTACACAAATTATATCTCACAATCTCCCCCTTTGGCAACTTCGTGACAAAACCCTAAAAACAAATATAATTTACCCAAACAGAAAAACAATATATTACAATTTGTCAAAGACACAGAATATTTTTTTTATTCTCTTTTCTCTTCTCTTCTGGATAAAAATTTACCTGATTTCCTATACATAGATTAAGCAAAACTACCCGTGAAAGTTTAATAAAAACAATTTATAAAAACTCTTCTTAAATTAATTATCCCTTGTCCTCCCCCTTTTTGGAACAAATTGACAAAGTAAGCAATTATAGAAAAGAACAATAAAGGGAAACAGGTTATTAAGATGAAACATGTCATTATACAGCCAAAAGATTAATATCCAAAATATAATGACAATGTCAACTTAACAAAACATGATGCACGAACGCATGAGTGAGAGAAAGAAAATAGATGGATCAATCAATCATCGTCATCCCCCTCAAATGGAGCAGTTGAGGTTGGAAGTAGAAAATTCACATTGAATTTTGAAATATTATTCATAAAAGGTTAAAATTTGATCTTACTTTACATGCATATTTATAAGAGAGAGAGTATAATGTTAGAAGGAAACAATTTTCTTAAACAAAATAAATAAATAAATAAAATAAAATAAAACAAAATAAAATAAAATAAAATTATCTAAAATTAAAATTCCTTTAAAAATTATAAAATAAAAATACATAAAATAGCTAATTAATTAAAATAGTGAATACAAGAGAAAGCTGTCCTACATCAAATCTACTCAGTAATTTAGAGCAACCCACTCTGATACTAATTGATAATTAATTTGTTGGACCATAACCCTAAGCTCTAATAGAGAGCTGTGCAATATTCGTGATCTAGACGATCTAGATGTAAAAAGTGAAATCAAAATTAAAATTAAGCTATCCTTAGTCCCGAGTGAGGATTAACCATTGCAATGATTAACCATGGATGCTGAATTTTGAATTCTCTGAGGACTTCTAGTCATTAGATTCAAAGCTGAGTGAATACTCAAATGATCATGAACTTTCACTTTCCTTGCTTTACACAAAAAACAGCATTGATGTAAATCTAAATACATTTGGAGTTCTCTTAATTTTTCTTCCCAAGGCGAGCAAATAGACCACTAAAGATTATACCTTAATTAATAATTTTTTTCTACTTCAAAGTAGAATGTTGAGCTTTCAAGTGCACAAAAATGGATATGTACTTCAGTTACTTGTTATGGTTTAAAAAAAAAAAAAATGTGGAACAAAAATGGATATGTGAATTACTTGTCATGGTTAAAAACAAAAAAAGTAAACATGCAAATGCGAATCGATAGCTCGTGAATTAGACCTTCCAAGCTAAGTCATAAAATTCTTTTGAAGTGGTGTCGGTTTTGCGCTTCTGGTGCGAATTGATGCTCTGAGAGCAAATCCTTTTATAATTTGCGAATTCAATTTTTTCAATTCAATAATTCAATTTGTGAATTCTCCTACAAATACACGCCAACATTTATTAATGATGAAAATAACCAAATGTGTCTAATATTGAATAATAATATTAAAAAAAAAAGGATCGAAATAGGAAGAATAAACCTACACTGTTAAAAAATAATAACATATGTTACCATATTGCTCACTTTTATTTTCTTATTTATGTCTAAAAAATTAAATGTGTGTGTAAATTGTATAGACACATATACATTTCCAAACAAAATATATTGGTACTTTTAGTTTTACTTTTATTAGTTAAGATGTTTATTATTTTATAATTCTTTAAATAATCATTTCATGTATGGAAATTTAAACAATCTCTTTTTAAGAATCTAGAATAAATATATGAATTTCTCACATCACATTTCTTTAAAAATAAAAAATATAACATAAAAATTTGTATTTTAATTAATATTAAAATTGCATATCTTTTAATATAAAAGAAATAAAATTACTTATAGTTCAAACACATTTTTTATTTTATATACACATAATACTATACAAGTGTGTAGGGGTTCTTGCTCTGACCAATTTTAGATTTTTTCGGTTTCATACTTTTGCTCCCGCTCTTGCTCTCGCTCCCACTCTCACTATGTGTCACTTAGTTTCCACAAAAAAGGACTTTTAATCTGTTCCGAAAAATTCAGAGCCCAAATCGAAGCAAAAGCTTTCCGCAGGTTGTTTATTTTTTATTTTGCTCCATCAAAAATTAGAAATTCTTATTTTTATATCATCACAAAGAAAGAAGGGAAATTTAATAACGGAAGTCACATAAATATCGAAAATAAAAACCCATGATATTTTGGACATATTTAACTTGGATATGACTGTCATTTTAATTGGTTGCCAGGTGAAAAAGGCCCATTTCTTCCAATTTTTCGACTTAATGGTGTGTCCTTCCCACTTCCCACCCTTCCTGTAAGACTTTTTATCCATACACATCTACCAGAACAATAATTCAAAGAAAGTTCCGGGTAGACAACTTTAACGTAAAAAAAAGTCAAACTAAGAACAACTCTTAGTGAGATGTGACTTCCAACCAACAATTGTGTGATTATGGTAATCAAACACTTCAAAAT